AGAAAGAAAGAGAGAGAGAGAGACTATGAAGTGGGGTGGGTAGAGTGGGAGGAGCTGAGATCACTTGAGGGAGGGGAGGATGTGACCAAATGTATGGAAAAGGTTTTGAAAAAGACAGCAAAAGTATATAAATAAATAGAAGAAAGTTAAGCAAAACTGGGTTTTGAAACAAAAAATTGGATATTTTGTACCCAGGGATAATTCTAGTTTTATAGACCTTAGTCAATTGTGTAAAATATTAACAGACTATTTTAATTGTGCAATATTAACAAAAGTCCTTATTTGAATAGATAAATATATCTCCCTGGAGTAGTAAATGAAACAAGGTCTTCTTAGCAGAGTGTATTGAGACCTTGATCTTCTGGTTTCTGCCCATTCCTGCAGGTCCTATTGCACCCTATGGCCTGGCCACTTCAGTGGGACTGACCTATGACCTTCCTTTCCATAGCAACACCAGGCCCTTGGTTTCACACACACTGTTCCCTTTAATAGATTGGGGCTGGTTTCTCCTAAGACTGTTCTTCATCATTTATTTCAGAAATAAAGATGCCTCCACCAATGAATTGGGAAAAGTCATGGACACAAACAAGGTTCAGAACAAAATCACAGAGCTGCACTTGCAGGAAGATGAGCCCAGTCAGGTCTAGGATGAGCTCAGTGTATACTGGAAGCTCGTGTTCTTCTGGCCTCGCTGGGGCCAGATGCCTGGGCAGCTGCTCTGGTTTTCTGGTGAAGCCTACCTTCCACTGTTCTCTTAGCTTAAGGAATCACCTGTTCTCTGGGGAGGAGCCTTTAGATGGTGAAGTGTCATCAATAGTGACCCAGCGATGACAGTGTCACAAGGCAGTGTGATTGTGTTTGGACTCTGCTGGGTATGTTCTCTCCAGTCTCCAGTGGTTTTATTGCCTGGTGGTCCTCTTACTCCCACCTCAACTTGCCAGACCTGTTTTCTGCCCCCCTCTCTGTTCCTTTATTTATCCAGGTGTGATAGTTTGGATGTCGAATATCCCCTCAAAACTTAGGTGTTAGGGTCTGGATCCCAGGGTGACACTACAGACGTGGCTCTCAACCCCTTCGGGGCTTAAATGACCTTTTCACAGGGATTGAATATCAGATATCCTGCTTATCAGATATTTACATTATGGTTCATAACAGTAGCAAAATTACGGTTATGAAGGAGTAATGAAAATAACTTTATGGCTGGGGGTCTCCACAACATAAGGAGCTATATTGAAGGATGGCAGCTTTAGGAAGTCAGGCTGAGAATCACTGCACTGCAGGGAAAGGGTGATACTTAAAGTGGTGAACTGAGTGGCCCTGTTTGGTCCCTGGAAGGGGATTATGGAATCCACATCTCTCTTCATTTTCAGAGCACACAGTGAGCAGTTCTACTTTGCCACACATTCCTGCTGTGACACACTGCCTTGCTACAGGCTTCACCTATGAGAGGCCCGAGCCCTTCCAAACCCTTTTCCTCATTGTAAGCTAAATTATCTCGGGCATTGTGCACCAGAGATAGGGCTCTGACGAACGTCCCAGCTCTTCCTGTTCCATCACACCTCATGCTCCGTTCTTTCTCCTACCCTCTCTTTCCATGTCTGTGTCTGTCTCCCTCATCTTTGCGGGCTCTCTTTCTCCTCCAGCCTTACAAGCTGCTTTCCTGCTGGCTTTGTTGCCATAGTGGTTACTATCTTGGCCTCTGTATTGGGAAATCCATATAGGTGTTCAAAGTCCTACTTCTAAAACAAATGACTGTGGGAGTTCCCGCCAAACTTTCCTTGTCTGTCAAGAGCAGTTAACAATGATGTCACAGGTTGTTTTAAGGACACAAAAGATGATCATGCAAATTGTGCGGCGAAACCGACCTGTCTCAGAGAGAAGCACATTGAACCCGTTTCCCCCTCTCCATCTCTAGAGCTCCCTGTCTTTCTTCCACATCTGGCCTCTGGCATTTCTGTCACCTCAGGTGCTCCCTGGAGATGGCCCGGTACCTGACATTTTCAAGACTGGTGTGGCAGGCTCACATCAGTAACACCAGCACTTGGAAAGAAGGCCAAGGCAGAAGGACTACATCATGAGACCCTGTCACAAAGTTATACCAGAACGAAAATTCACTGAGTAGCTGCAACAAAAACATCTGTGTCCTATAAAAATTCACCTTGGGACAACCGAGATCAAGGCAGCAAAGGCTGCCCCCTCCAGCTGCTTTTGTGAGTGAGTGTGGCTTACCTTTTCTCAGAAAGAACAGGCATTGGGATGCATATTTCACACTGGAAACAAACCCAGGCTTTTAATATTGTAACACTGCACATGGAAAGTATATAGAAGAAACTACCTTACCATTTTCGAAGCTTCTGAAAACTGCTCCTAGGCTGGGGTATTCGCTTAGGTTGACTTGACTGAACAATGTCAGTAGCAGTGAAGGGTGGAAAGTCTGCTTCAGACCCTTGAGAACGTTGTACACCACTCTGGGTACAGGGAGCAGATTATCACAGGCTTCCTGAGAATCCTTCAAAGAGTGGAACAAGGATGGATTAGTTTGAATGGTTCTTCATTGAGCTGAGAACTCTTTATTTGTGGTTTTCTCTATTGTAAGGAAGCTACTTTGGGCTGCTGAGGCTGGCTAAGTAAGTGAAGGTGTTGGCCATCGAGCCTGAGGACAGGAGTTTGATCCCCAGGATCCATATCATGGAAGGAAAGGACAGAGTCTACAAGTTGTCCTTCAACCCCCACACCATGCATTGCCCACCTCCACCCCCAAACAAATACATGATTGTAATTTAAAAAAAAAAAAAGAAGCCAGGCTTGATGACACTTGCCTTTAATTTTAGGAGACAAAGAGTCAGATCTTGAATGTTTTCTATTGAGCCCTGGTGGGTTATAGGCCTAGATCTCAATAGTGGAGCATACTTAGTGGGAATTGGATTGCCTTGTGGAGGGTCCACAGGCCTCACCTTGTACATTTCTTCAGTGATGAAGTGGTGGTCTTGGAGGGCTTCAAAGAAAGGGAAAGGCTTCTTGATGGCATAGGCGATGTCCACCTTTGTCTGAATGAAGTGCTTGAAAAGAACCTCCTCAACGGTCTTTGCATAGTTAATAACATCCTGGGGAAAGATGCAGGCTGAGGAGACAGAGGCAGAGGCTGCTCAGAGTATGGGGAGTTGCTCTTGCTGGAACTTGTACTTGAAGGTAGCTATCCTAGTCCTCCAGCATCCCTTAGCGGTCTATAGAAAACAGGGCTGGAGAGATGGCTCAGTGGTTAAGAGCCCTGACTGCTCTTCCAGTGGTCCTGAGTTCGATTCCCAGAAACCACATGGTGGCTCACAGCCATCTATAATGACATCTGGTGCCCTCTTCTGGCATAAAGGCATACATTCAGATAGAGCACTCGTATACATAAAATAAATCAATAAAATCTTTAGAAAAAGAAAAAGAAAACAAAGGCAGTGCCCAGCGACCACAGAGGCTGAGAGTGACAGACAATAGCATGCCACCACCCTCAAAAGCATTTTCTATCATGAAGTGTCTTTTGAAAATATCTGCTTTTCTCTGAGTGTTTGTCATGTCCAGCCTTTGTTCTTAGGGTTTCACTGGTAGTAACTTCCTGAGTTGACAAAGTATGCAAGATGCTCACTGTCATTGCAACTACGTAGCTATGGAAAGCTCCAATGCAGACAAGGTGGGATAACTTTCATGCTAGATGATACAATGTGGACAGGGCTGAGTAGGTACTAAACCCTGACATTCTGGTTGCTGGTTTACAGTTGAATGGGTGCTTGACACTGAGCAGGGTTAGAACAGTTCACCGCACTGCAGCTGAGCCCTTCCAGTAACAATGTTCTCAAGAGTAGGGACCGACAAATGTGGGCAGCTAGAAACCTGGCCATATTTAGACACTGAAAAGAACCACATATTTTGACACAAAAAGGTTACACAAAATAAAATCAGGAAGGGTGTGAAAAATAGGATTGGTCAAAGTGATGTCACCGTTTGGATTTATAAATCCGTTTCATTCTTCAGGACAGATCTGTGCCTTTTCCCATTACCCATATGATAGTCAGAAAAACCGACCACTTCCAGATCATGAGGAAATAACCAGTTGTAACAGGACCAAAACTTCTTACATGACACAGCATTGGCAAAGCGATGTAAAAGCAGAAGCCCTAGTAAACAGTGCCATCATCTGGGGAGCTCTTGGTGTTCAGCAGTACTGAGGACTGAGCCCTTGTGCTTCTTTGGTAATCACTGAGCTATGTCCCCAGCTAACACTGAAGATTATTTTGTTTTATTTTTAAACACAAAGCAAACAAGGATCCCCCCTTTCATCTTTTGTTAAATAGAATAGTAAACTGTAATTAATGAGTATTTCCAGGGATTTAATCCCATTGGCAAATTAAGCAGTCCTGTTCATTTCTACTAATTTCCAAATTCCTTAACCTTGGCAGAGAAAAGAAATAAGGAAAAAAGAAGGAAAAGAGGAAGAGGAGCAGCAACATCATCACCTGCTGCAGGACTGGAAGGCAGGACGATGTACCATCAGCAGCCTTCAGTCCTGAGAAAATTCTGGCAGTTGAGGACAGGTGTGAGAGAAAGTAGTTGACAAAGCTCGTGTGGGGAGAGGGGAGTCAGAGTGGAGAAATACTCTGGGCTCTGTTTAAGATGACTTACTACATGGCAGCATTCAGAGTAAGACAGTGACAGTGTTCTCATTTGTCACCTGCCACGGTTTCCAAATGATGAAAACCAGACCCCAGAGGGGTTAAGTAACAAAGCCCAAGGAAATCAATGGTACAACAGAGTCTGCCTGGCGCTAATATTTTGTGTGTGGGTTTTTTTTTTTTTTTTTTTTTCTGTGCAAGGTACTGTATCTCAAACCTGACAAAATGGCTCATAATCTCTGGAGTCTGAGGTGAGCCTGGTCTACATAGTAAGTTCCAGGATAACCAGAGCTACATAGTGAAATTCTGTCTTCAAATAAAAACAGAAAAGAAAAAAAAAAGATACTGTATCTCATAGATACCTGCATTCAAATTTTGTTATGTTAAAGGGTCGTACAAATAAATTAGGAAAAGACAAACACAGTAGGACAGACAAAGCCTAAACATGAGCAAACAAGCCATGTGTACAATAAGTGCTTTAAAATACAGGAAGTGGGAACGACTTGACAGTACATAGTCATATCAAAACAGCCTACTGAGAAAACAGTAGTCATAATCCCTGATAATGGTAGAAAGGTAAACCAGCTCATGGGTTCCGTTCCTCATTTGGTAATCAGTATCATGAACCCTAAAATACTAATCTCTTTGAATTTTCATGCACAGGAATGTATTTCAAGGAAATAAACATAAATTTACCAAAACAAAAAAAAAACACCCCCCCAAAATATCAACCTGAAACCTCATAACAGGCTACAGAAACCCTCTGTAATTTTCTCTTTCTCATTAGCTTCAAAATAAGGCAAATGCCTGGTAGATGCTGAAGGCACCACCCACCATGGGCACATGCAGGGTTCAACCTCAGAAGGCAGCACAGGAAACTGTCCTCAACAGTCTTTAACTTTCAGAAAAGAAACTGTCTTACCTTCCATTGCACGCCTCTCCCTGCCCCTTATCGACCCCTTAGTAGGTCCTAGGCACCTGCTCCAGGACTCTAGAAATCACTACTTTGTCAAGAGACAGACTGAGGACCTTAAGGTCCAACAGATAAAAGCTAATCCCCAAGAACGAAAACTCCAGCTTTGCAGAGCCCAAGAGCAGAATGCACCTGGATGCTGGGCTGTCACCTGTCTTCTAGGTTCACTAAAGCGGCCAGGGATCCTTTAAGGAGATCCTGGACCCTGCCTGGAGACGCCTTCTGGGAAATCTTGCTGCCCTGGCCTCGGTGCCTTGGATTTCTAGAAAAGAAAACCAAAAGTGATCTCAGCTCACAGATCAGGAAGAGAAAAGCCACTTCTGTCTGACACCTGCCCCCTCCCCTCTCCTCCCCCAAGCTTGGTAAGGATCCTCAGTAGGGTTAGTAGCTTGAGTTACAGAAGCACTACTGCAAATCCAGGTCCTTCTGGAGTGTAGTGACAGACACGGGTCCTGGAGAACATGAGAAGGGGGTTTCAACTGTCTCCTTATCAATCAGTCTCTACTTCCCTCGTGACCTCGTTTTAATCTTTGTGGAGCACTGAAATGTTCTCAAACTGGACTGAGAATAAATTTGCTAAAAATCGTCAAATTGGAAAATACAATAACACTAACCAGAGCTGACATGTTTGAAATGCCTAGAGTTTGTCAGGATAACTAAGATGGAAACTAAAATAAAAGGCAAGGAAGAGAACCCCACCCCCACCCCATCCCCAGCGGTGAAACCAGGCAGAATGGTGCTTCATAGCCCTTTGAAGATCCCTGAGGAACCTGAACCAGGATCTTTGAGAAAACTTCAACTGAGAGTTCTGTGTAACACTCTTGTATTGACCCACAGAGAACTTCCTGCCAGGACACCCACCAGGATTCTGCAGCTTTAGATTTGGACCATGGCTAGTGCACACAAGAGAGAGCCCCTCTGCACTTCCTGTGGGGGCACGGATAGTCACATTCCTGCAGGCTTGACCCAGACTCTCCCAGGGATGGGAACTGCGAGAGGAGGGGGAACAAGGCAAGTTCAAGTTCATGCAGAGTGTGTGGGGACATGAGGGCAGGCTTGAGTGCCAGAAAAATGCCCCACCCTAAGAAACCTTTAGAGCAAAAAAAGCTATTCCAATAGACAGATATAAATAAGGACAAAAGGCGTCATTATATACCAACACACTCAAGAGTATAGTAATAATGCTAAAACCTCGCCTGCTCATTCACACCAAGTGAGAACCCACTAAGACTATATATTTTAGCACAGTTTTATAGATATGCAAAATGTATTCATCTAAAGCGATGCTTTTGGTGAATTTCACAAAATAAAATCATGCCAAAATGAAGACACAGGTCATCTCCCCAATCCTGTGCCCCTCCCCCGAAAAAAAAACAAACCTCTTCTTGGCAAGAAAATCCCTCCTGGACTACAGCTCCAGGTAACCACAGATTGACTGTTACACAGCTAAGTTTGATATAAAAATGTCATATAAATAAATATTTTAAATGTACTTTTTGGTTTTGTTTGCTCATCGCTGTACTCTTGGGACCTGTTGCTGAAGGTCAGAAATTTTCTTCTGCAACAGAGGGCTGAGCCTTGAATTCAGCACAGGACTTCAGCCCCATCTACCTTGTCTTTGATGCCATGTTTTGCTTCTTCCGTACCAGAATTATCCTGTTCTCATTGCCCCCCTTTACTTCAGTAACAGTAACATACCTTTTGACTTCAATTTTGAAGTCAAGGTATTTTCAAAATACCTACCTTCGATTAATTCAGCAGCATCAATGAGCTAATATATTTGAGCAGCTGTTGCTCCTTTCTCAGCATTCAAACATAGAGAACATAATAACATATAGTATCCAGATTCTCTGTGTATTTTGCATCTTTATGTGGCTTTTATTTTTAACTTTTACTTTTTGAGATAGGTTTTCTGTATGTCTTTGAGTGTTCTGGAACTCCCTCTATAGACCAGGCTGTCCTTGAACTCACAGATGACAGCCTGCCTCACCTCCCAAGTGCTGGGATTAAAGGTGTGCACCACCACACCATGAATTCAGAGATCTGTCTGCCTCTGCCTTAAAAGCTTTGGGATTAAAGGTGTGTGCCACCACACCTTGAATTAACAGAGGTCTGCCTGCCTCTGTCTACCAAGTGTTGGGATTAAAGGTGTGTACTAGCACACCAAACTACTCTCTTTTTTTTAAGGACCTTAAGCTTTAGCCTGCATATATTTTTAAACACAGTAAAGCATGTATAAGTTCTTTATCTTTCAATCTCTCCTTACTGTCTCTTTTTCTGACTACATGAGTTTTTAATTTACCAAGCAATATGGGTAGGACTAAAGCCGTGGCTTTGATGGCTGGATACAGCCCATTCCTTAGCTTTCTGTGATTTCAGCCTCATGACAGAGGTAGTGACTATAGTCATGTTTATTGCCACAACTCTATGGCCTTTCAAGGTCCCGCCAGCAAGCAAACTGCAGCAGTATCCTCACAAACCACAGTCAAATAATACACAATCCCATTGCCTGCCTGAATGATTCAGAGTGTGTCCTGGCAGGATGGCCAGCATTTTCAAATGGCACGGCTTTTTTCCTACTATGGCTGAAAAACCAAAAACCATGTGGTCAGCTTTTCATCAACACCATTTAAGTGTTTTGTTGTAGGATCTCTTAAAGAGCTGCAGGGTTTTGCAGCTAAAGCTGAGTTGGGAAGCCTCTCTTAGATGAGAGCACTTGCTTCCCTCTAGCAAGCAGAGCAGAAACGAGAAATTGCTGCTACCAAGAAAACATGCTTTACTCTATTATTTTCCCAACCTTTCTCAGGCTTCCTATAGATGCAGTTATCTACATGGGTGCCATTCTGTAGCATGAGGTACTGCTTATTGGGGTTTCTGTCCTCCCACCAGGTCCCACAGCTTTTTGGTCCCAAAGAAAATCACACAGAGAGTCTATATTAATGATAAACTGATTGGCCCATTAGCTCAGGCTTTGTATTAGCTCTTATAAATTATATAGCCCAGTAACATGAGGGCCAGGCTTATTGGGGTTTCTGTCCTGCCCAGTTCCACAGCAGGCAAATCCCAAAGAAAGTCACACAGAGGTCTCCTTAGGTTATAAACTGATTGGCTTCTTAACTCAGGCTTCTTATTAGTTCTTGTATCTTATATTAACCCATTATTCTTATCTATGTAAGCCACGTGGCACAGTACCTTTCCCAGAAGATCAGGACACATCCAGCTTCTTCCTTGGTCTGGGCAGAAATGCTGAGGGAGCTTCCGGCTTCCCACAAAACTCCTGTTCTCATTGCCCCACCTGTCCCACCTATACTTCCTGCCTGGCCAATCAGCATTTATTTTAATTATGATTGACAGAATACAGACAATTCTCCCACACCACCCATCCTTCAGATCGGTCCTGTCCTTGAGGGGCTATAGCCCTAGCTATGAACTCCTACCACCTCCTACAAGAAATCTCTAGTTTTCAAGAACTAGGTGAAATAGCTGAAGTCCTTTGTTGCCCAGCTGTCAAGGGCACACTTGAACACCTATTCTGACTGGATTCTCTGAACTGCCCTCGGTTGGAGGAGGCAGGAGAGAGGGTTTTCTTGCTTCTGCCTACATTCAGAAGCTCCAAGAACTTTAGGGGGCTATACCTTCAGACTTTTCCTAGCCTGGTGCTCAAATATCAGGTCCAACTCTACAGATCTGGCTTACTAGGTGGCCAAGATAGCCACAGGTCTGAGAGATGTGGACAACCTAGTCTTCCTTGTCCTTCGAGGCACCACCCCAGAAAAGGACAAAGGAGCTACTTCCTTCCCATTTTCTGCAGCCCTGAGCTGTCAGACTCTCCCACCTTTCTTTATAGTGAACCAGGGATCCCAGTTTTCTAGAAACTTGAGTTCTCTTTACTCCTCCCCTCTGGGGAAGATACTGGCCAGAGGCAGGATGGGGAGAGTGCAGAGTGAGGGGGAAGGGCAGAGGGGGGGAAGCCCGCCAGACACAAGGGGACCAAACCAAGTGTGAATGAAGCCAAGTATGTCACAGCTGAGCGGGTTTCACTTTCTTTCTTCTCCTCTTTGAAGGACCTGGAAAGAGTTCTCTCTGAACATCCCAGAGGCTCAGAGGTGGTACACTCCTTGGCTCAGGGCACATTC